TTTGGGAGACACAACAAATTAATAGAGAAAAAAATATATATCAATATTCCTATTAAATATTAGATATTATTATGAAAATCTTGCTAATTATTACTCCCATTATTGCACTTATTTGTTCATTCTATGTTGCCCCAAAAACGCAAATTAGATTACATTTTACACACATTTTGCTTAAAGAAAAATGTTTTTTAAAAAATATCTTTCATAACATTAGTTGAGAATCATCTTTATATATAGTTTGGTATAAAAAAAAATAAATTGATTTCTGGTTAAAACAAAATCCCACTCTTTTTGCCTTTTCATGTCTATTCATGTCTTTTTATTTTTTTTTAAAAACAGAGGACATGGCATAACATATGAATAAAATACCATTTTTCAAAAATTGTATTTTTCAAAATTTTTCTTATGCTCTAAACAATGTAATGACATGACACAATACTAAATTCACAAAACAGTTTTTTCTGGTTCATGATAATGTTTTGCATCACAGAACAGTGCAGGTGATCAAGCTCATCAGCAGAGGTTCAATTGAAGCCTGCATGCTCCGAGTGGGACAAGAGAAGCTGAAACTGGAACAGGACATGACCACTGATGGAGGTGAGTTTCAACACCCAACCTCTGTCAAACCCACAGGTCACAATTTACTAGATGAACCTCAAAATACCCTCCCTTTATAGTAGCAGTAGTGGGCGGTATAACCAAAATCTTATCACAGTACTGTATAGTTCCTTGTGCCAGAATGTCAATGAAAAATGGTTTATATATTAAATAATTGTTTAATTCCAATTTTTGGGTAATCCAGTGAAAGTAATTTATTAAAATGGAGACTTTCATTGTGGTGGTTTTACTACATTATCAGTTATGTATCTGGTTTTTCACTATAGATTGAATGCTCTTTAATTCTTTTTGTGTTGAATTCTGTTCAGATGAGGTTGGTGCTATAACTGAACAAATGGCAGAGCTGCTCAAAGTCTCACTGGGCCTTTGAAACCTGAAGAATGTGAAAGCCAGAGTGGTAGTTGCCTGTACATTTCCCTCCACTCCTCAAGAGTAAACACAGCAACTTGAGACTGATTTGATGTGGTTTTGGTAAGGACTAGCACTTTTTTTTTTCCCCCCAATGTCCAAATATTAGTAGTCAGTAAATGCACAGGAGGTTGTCTGGATGTCCTGTCTTGTACAGAGCACATTCAGGGCTTTTCAGAGATACCAAATGATTGGTTGTTTCACCATGACCACTCCCTCTCTTTGGTCTTTAAAAATGACTGACATTCATTTAGTGATCAAATGGTAACACCCTATTGGAAATATGATAATATTTTGTAATTATCATTTAAATCTGACTAATTGACATTGTTTGTCATAAATCAACATCTCAGGAAAATCAAAATATGACCTTCTGTTATGAAACAGGACATCAGTTTCATACATGTCCACTGTAGAGGACACCAGGACTTAAAGCATGTTTATTACACATTTTGGGAGACACAACAAATTAATAGAGAAAAAAATATATATCAATATTCCTATTAAATATTAGATATTATTATGAAAATCTTGCTAATTATTACTCCCATTATTGCACTTATTTGTTCATTCTATGTTGCCCCAAAAACGCAAATTAGATTACATTTTACACACATTTTGCTTAAAGAAAAATGTTTTTTAAAAAATATCTTTCATAACATTAGTTGAGAATCATCTTTATATATAGTTTGGTATAAAAAAAAATAAATTGATTTCTGGTTAAAACAAAATCCCACTCTTTTTGCCTTTTCATGTCTATTCATGTCTTTTTTTTCTGCAATTTTTCTTATGCTCTAAACAATGTAATGACATGACACAATACTAAATTCACAAAACAGTTTTTTCTGGTTCATGATAATGTTTTGCATCACAGAACAGTGCAGGTGATCAAGCTCATCAGCAGAGGTTCAATTGAAGCCTGCATGCTCCGAGTGGGACAAGAGAAGCTGAAACTGGAACAGGACATGACCACTGATGGAGGTGAGTTTCAACACCCAACCTCTGTCAAACCCACAGGTCACAATTTACTAGATGAACCTCAAAATACCCTCCCTTTATAGTAGCAGTAGTGGGCGGTATAACCAAAATCTTATCACAGTACTGTATAGTTCCTTGTGCCAGAATGTCAATGAAAAATGGTTTATATATTAAATAATTGTTTAATTCCAATTTTTGGGTAATCCAGTGAAAGTAATTTATTAAAATGGAGACTTTCATTGTGGTGGTTTTACTACATTATCAGTTATGTATCTGGTTTTTCACTATAGATTGAATGCTCTTTAATTCTTTTTGTGTTGAATTCTGTTCAGATGAGGTTGGTGCTATAACTGAACAAATGGCAGAGCTGCTCAAAGTCTCACTGGGCCTTTGAAACCTGAAGAATGTGAAAGCCAGAGTGGTAGTTGCCTGTACATTTCCCTCCACTCCTCAAGAGTAAACACAGCAACTTGAGACTGATTTGATGTGGTTTTGGTAAGGACTAGCACTTTTTTTTTTTTTCCCCCAATGTCCAAATATTAGTAGTCAGTAAATGCACAGGAGGTTGTGTTACTCAGGGATCACCTGAAGTACTCATGTTAATATTCCACACTGGAGATCTATGTCATATGTGCCTGAAAGACTGTACCTCACTTACCCAGCTCAGTTTAGCCCACATAGGACTGGTGAGTTGGTTCCAGATTTGTGACCTTATTGACTAAAGGCACTTCTGCAAATAACTGGTTATACTTGTACTTTAACAGTTTTGTTGTTTAATGTGTATCTCCTTGTATTGTGTTTTCTAAATAAAGATAATACAGTCATTTACTTAAAATTAAGATTTTTGATTGTTGATGAGTATTGCAAGTTGATTAGTACTACTGCCATTAAAATATGCACACCAATTCAATTCAAACTACTCAACATTGGATTAGCATCGTCACCTTTATTTATATAGCACTTTATGCAATACAGATTGTTTCAAAGCAGCTTTACAGCGATAAACGGAAGTGATTCAGTGATGCAAACAGAATTCAATTCTGCTGAAAAGCAGCTCTAAAAAGACAATAGTAAAGACTTATTCAGTGGAAATCAGTTCATTGTTGATTCGGTTCTGTTCAGTAACTTTAAAGTTCAAATGTGGAGTGAGTTTAATCTATAAAGCAACTTTGGAGGGATGTCATCCAGCTCCGTTTAGTTCTCAGCCAATAGTGTCTGTGCAGTAAAGTTAATAATATTAAGTGTCCCCATCTAACCAAGCTAAAACGCATCAGTGACAAAGAACCCAAACTCCATCAGTGACAGAAATGGAGAAAAAGCCTCGGTAGAAACAAGGTTCAGTCAGGGGCCAGACAGACAAACATGGTGTGATTTAATTCCAGGGCATGTCACAAGTCAGATTGTGGATTGATATATTTATATAATCCATAATATTTCATCCAGTTCCTTCTTGAAATTCTTGATACATTATGCCAGCATTTGGTGGGGGTATTTGAAGCTGGCCATAGGGTCTGTGCAGAGGACTGGATTCGGGTGACTATGGTAATCTCAGACAGTCAGACTAATATTAGCGTAGATGCCACTCCACTTCTTACTGAGGTGTTAAACCATTAAGGACTTTAGAAGTAAGCATTAAGATTTTAAAATGTATGCAATATTTAAAAGGGAGCCAATGCAGTGTTGACAAAACCAGGCTAATATGGTCGTACTTCCTAGCTGCTGAGTTTGAACCAGCTGGAGTTTGTTTATTAAGCCTGCAGAGTAGCCACCGAGTACAGCATTACAATAATCTAGACCTGAGGTTGTGAATGCATGAATGAACTGTTCTGCATTTGACATTGAGAGCACATGTCGCAATTTATGTATTTTTTTTTTAAGATGGAAAAAATCTGTTTTACAAATATTAGCCGGCGCTTGCTTCATTCCTAGAAGCTGACGCTGGCTCTGCCGCACGTGCTTTTATAGCTTCCCGTTCATGACGTCATCCGCCGTGACGTACCGCTCAGCTATTGGACTGATTTCACAAGTGATTCAGAGCGTGGGTCACTGAAGGCGTTCCCCTAGTGTTCTCGACGCAGCGTCTCGTTCCCTCGAGGAACTAGGGTTACATACGTAACTAGACAAGTTCGAAAAGCTGTGACCCGCCTCACTCGCCCTCCCAGATGGACGTATGTTGTGAGTTATCTGATAATGTTAAACCTATTCATCATGCCATTTTTATTTGGAATCTTATTTTGTGTGTTGTTTGTTCACCTAGATAAAATTAAAACCATTCATCTATTTTTCAGTTTATGTTCTGTCCTTTTGTGTATTGTTTGTTTATCTGTTAATTACATTCCTTTAAAGTTATGGAAGAATGCTAAAGTTTTTATTTTTTTAGTTTCTATCTACAGTATGTTACAGAAAGATAAGGTTGTATGTACGTGTCCAACCTCTGTTTCCTTTGGGATACCTGTCTCTATAATGTACTTAGGCTTGCTTTTGCAAAACACTGGGAAAAAACAACAACAACAACAAAAAAGACCACTATTTTACATTTGATTTTATGACAGATTTTTTTCCTAAGTAACTTGCAGTGCATACAATTTATAGCCTATAAGACATTGTGTTATTTAATAACTATGTGTGCTCCATGGGAAATGAACCAGTGACCTTGGCATGATAAACACAGTGCGGAATTTCATGTTTTAGGTAATGAAAAGTCGTTATGCACGGGTTTTCATTGAACCAGTAGACAGTTTTGTTTTAATGAATGATCTGTTGCGGAACATGAAAAAATCTTATACTTTTCACTTTGCAATACATAACCACAATCACGCACAGGAATAAGACAACTGAAAGCAAAACTATTTTCTGCAGTAGCAGAACAAATGCAGTAACAAATCTTCTGAAATCTATTAGTCTTAAAATCTAAACAAAAATAATAATAATAATAAAGAAGAAATATTCACTATAATTACTGGAAATATTTGGCAAAAAAAGAAATAAAAATGTAATTATTTTTTTTATTGTTTGTGATTATTTTTTCTATGCATCTCTGTTTATGATATGATGTCTCACCTTTAACTGTCTAAAAAGCAATATGCCGAAATATGCTTTATATTCTTTTTGTATAAATTGTTCTATACAAATACAAGGTCTTATGCTTTTGGTGAATATCTGCTACACCTGGGTCCAGTCAGATGAGCTTCACAAGAAGCATTGTAGGTGAAATACAGGATGCCTCTCTTTAATTTACAGCTGTGTGAATGAGATCCACGTTCAGGTCTGACCACACATCTCCCCACAAAGTCATTATAAATGACATCACTGTCCCAAACCTCAAATATGAGTTCATGACCAAACTCAATTGACCTAAAATCATAGCTGATGTTCCATTCGGGATCATTATTGTCCATAATCACCTCAGTCTCCTCATACATGAGGTTGTACCAGACTTTCACATAACCGTCAGTGCGTGTGAAGAGATCTGCTTTCAGGCCTGCTGCTCTCTGCACCATCACTACTAACTTGCCACGGCCGGCTTGCATAGGACAGCAGTTGTGGTCCAGATTTGGTGTCTTTGAGCATCCTTGATTCTCCTTGTGATCTACAGGAAGCATGTTCTCTTCAATATACTCTGTTACTGCTCTTTTTAGATTGGCACTAACCTTGGGATCAGCCACCAGATGATGGAGAGGGAAAATTGCATATGATATAACCTCAGGATTGTCATGCAGGCTCATCGTCCAGTTCGAGTATGCTTCAGCTGGGCTTTGGTTTAAAACTAGGTCTGGAAAGTATTTCTCACCTCCCAGCACCTCTGTCTTGTGTGTCATGAAGCCCTGGTAGAATCCCATGTTCATGTTATCTTTAAGGATGTGAGAGCATTTGTTGGAAAGCGAGACATTAGCTGGCAGGAACCCCAGAGTCATCTTTAACTCAATGTTTAGGCAGTTCTTGATATCAGTCTCAGAGAAGCCTTTCAGGGTTGCAAGACAAGTTCGAAAAGCTGTGACCCGCCTCACTCGCCCTCCCAGATGGACGTATGTTGTGAGTTATCTGATAATGTTAAACCTATTAATCATGCCATTTTTATTTGGAATCTTATTTTGTGTGTTGTTTGTTCACCTAGATAAAATTAAAACCATTCATCTATTTTTCAGTTTATGTTCTGTCCTTTTGTGTATTGTTTGTTTATCTGTTAATTACATTCCTTTAAAGTTATGGAAGAATGCTAAAGTTTTTATTTTTTTAGTTTCTATCAACAGTATGTTACAGAAAGATAAGATTGTATGTACGTGTCCAACCTCTGTTTCCTTTGGGATACCTGTCTCTATAATGTACTTAGGCTTGCTTTTGCAAAACACTGGGAAAAAACAACAACAAAAAAGACCACTATTTTACATTTGATTTTATGACAGATTTTCTTCCTAAGTAACTTGCAGTGCATACAATTTATAGCCTATAAGACATTGTGTTATTTAATAACTATGTGTGCTCCATGGGAAATGAACCAGTGACCTTGGCATGATAAACAGAGTGCGGAATTTCATGTTTTAGGTAATGAAAAGTCGTTATGCACGGGTTTTCATTGAACCAGTAGACAGTTTTGTTTTAATGAATGATCTGTTGCGGAACATGAAAAAATCTTATACTTTTCACTTTGCAATACATAACCACAATCACGCACAGGAATAAGACAACTGAAAGCAAAACTATTTTCTGCAGTAGCAGAACAAATGCAGTAACAAATCTTCTGAAATCTATTAGTCTTAAAATCTAAACAAAAATAATAATAATAATAATAAAGAAGAACTATTCACTATAATTACTGGAAATATTTGACAAAAAAAGAAATAAAAATGTAATTATTTTTTTTATTGTTTGTGATTATTTTTTCTATGCATCTCTGTTTATGATATGATGTCTCACCTTTAACTGTCTAAAAAGCAATATGCCGAAATATGCTTTATATTCTTTTTGTATAAATTGTTCTATACAAATACAAGGTCTTATGCTTTTGGTGAATATCTGCTACACCTGGGTCCAGTCAGATGAGCTTCACAAGAAGCATTGTAGGTGAAATACAGGATGCCTCTCTTTAATTTACAGCTGTGTGAATGAGATCCACGTTCAGGTCTGACCACACATCTCCCCACAAAGTCATTATAAATGACATCACTGTCCCAAACCTCAAATATGAGTTCATGACCAAACTCAATTGACCTAAAATCATAGCTGATGTTCCATTCGGGATCATTATTGTCCATAATCACCTCAGTCTCCTCATACATGAGGTTGTACCAGACTTTCACATAACCGTCAGTGCGTGTGAAGAGATCTGCTTTCAGGCCTGCTGCTCTCTGCACCATCACTACTAACTTGCCACGGCCGGCTTGCATAGGACAGCAGTTGTGGTCCAGATTTGGTGTCTTTGAGCATCCTTGATTCTCCTTGTGATCTACAGGAAGCATGTTCTCTTCAATATACTCTGTTACTGCTCTTTTTAGATTGGCACTAACCTTGGGATCAGCCACCAGATGATGGAGAGGGAAAATTGCATATGATATAACCTCAGGATTGTCATGCAGGCTCATCATCCAGTTCGAGTATGCTTCAGCTGGGCTTTGGTTTAAAACTAGGTCTGGAAAGTATTTCTCACCTCCCAGCACCTCTGTCTTGTGTGTCATGAAGCCCTGGTAGAATCCCATGTTCATGTTATCTTTAAGGATGTGAGAGCATTTGTTGGAAAGCGAGACATTAGCTGGCAGGAACCCCAGAGTCATCTTTAACTCAATGTTTAGGCAGTTCTTGATATCAGTCTCAGAGAAGCCTTTCAGGGTTGCAAGACAAGTTCGAAAAGCTGTGACCCGCCTCACTCGCCCTCCCAGATGAACTTGTCGTATGTAGTGAGTGCCATAAGTATCTATAGTCCTTCGGTACAGGGCTTTTGATTCCTCATCATATTGGGTCGGAAGTCGCCGGAGATGTTTTGAGAATTCAGTGCTGAGCTCTGGATGGTCTGTGACTCTGTAACTGCAAATGATCAACAAAAAGTAATCTGTCAGCAGATTCTAGTTGTGGTTTCTAAATAAAACTGTGATTTGCCTCATGTTTTATTTTTCAGTGTTTTTGACAGTAATTTTGTCAAGGACGTGATAAGAAAGTACTTATTAAAGCATGCTTTTGGTTTGTTTTTCAGATAAAATTATGATTTGGCTGACTTTTCAAGTGTTTTAGGACTAAATTGTTTGGTCAGATGAGGATTACATGCTAATCGAAGCATCTTTGAGATAAAGTCTCTTCCTCATAATACGCAATCCTAAGTCTCACAAGGAAAATATGCACTGATATTAAATTATACAATTGATTGTAGTTGCCACCTGCTCTTATATTTTGTTATCAAAGCAATAACATTCAGCTGTAGAGCTACATTATGTAGGCCTAACTTTGGGCCCACTAGCCTGCCTTAAAAAAGAAAACGACATGCATCTTGCGGAATAACTTTGTTTTGGTTGTGCTTTGGCTCTGCTCGTCTGTCAAAATCCACCCCACTAGTTCTAAAATATACAACACTATAGTTTCAAAGTGTATTTGGTTAAAGACATGGTTTACAGTGGTTCCCAACCTGGGGATTGCTAAAGAATAAAATAGGTGTCCCCTGGAAAAAATGTTGGGAACCACTGGTTTAGAAGATGTTTTTTTTGCACTTTTTAAAAAATCTAAATAGTTACATAGTTACAAGTGTCCAGATAAGTGTCTGTATTGTTGCCATTGCCAAAATGGATTTGATTATTTGATATATAATTTGAATCTAGTCATTTTGACATCTTAAACCGGAGGCATTAGCCTTAAAGGGATAGTTCACCCAAAAATGAAAATTTTATGTTTATCTGCTTACCCCCAGGGCATCCAAGATGTAGGTGACTTTGTTTCTTCGGTAGAACACAATGAAGATTTTTAACTCAAACCGTTGCAGTCTGTCAGTCATATAATGGAAGTTAATGGGAATCACGGCTTTGAGAGTCAAAAAAAACATACACAAACAAAACCAAATTAAACCCTGCGGCTCGTGACGATACATTGATGTGTAAAGACACGAAACGATCAGTCTGTGCAAGAAACTGAACAGTATTTATATTATTTTTTCCCTCTGATTCACCGCAATGTCCGAACTGTCCTGAGTGTGTTCTCAACAGCCGGCGCGTGACACGTCTTCTTCTTCTTGCTTTACGGTGGATCGCAGACTTATAAGTGCATTACTGCCACCTATCTCTCAAATGGACCATTGACACTCTATCTACAATCTCAATTAGGAGTGTCAATGGTCCACTTGAGAGATAGGTGGCGGTAATGCACTTATAAGTCTGCGATCCTCCGTAAAGCAAGAAGAAGAAGAAGAAGATGTGTCATGCGCTGGCTGTTGAGAACACACTCAGGACAGTTCGGACATTGCGGTGAATCAGAGGTAAAAAAACTATATAAATACTGTTCAGTAGACTGATCGTTTCGTGTCTTTACACATCAATATCGTCACGAGCCGCAGGGTTTAATTTGGTTTTGTTTGTGTATGTTTTTTTGACTCTCAAAGCCGTGATTCTCATTCACTTCCATTATATGACTGACAGACTGCAACGGTTTGAGTTAAAAATCTTCATTGTGTTCTATCGAAGAAACAAAGTTTCTTTTGCCCTGGGGGTAAACAGATAAACATCAAATTTTCATTTTTGGGTGAACTATCCCTTTAACAGACTAATTTAGATGTTATTTAGGAGTTCTTAGATTTAATTTCGCTCACCGTGGATGAGATACATGAGACCACTAAATAAATGCAAAGTATATAGCAAGATAAAAATAATTAATTGTATGTGCTTTCTCAGTTATCAAATCATCTAACAACATTGTATGCATGTTCAGAGATATTGAGCGACAGATTGTCATCATTCTCTGGAGAAGTTACAACAAAAAATCATTATAAATACAGTGCAAAATTAGTCATAAATTCATATGGAATTACCTATAATATGTGCAGCTGATTTCATGGAGGGCAAATGTTGCCTTATCCATTGCATTCTGAGATTGGGCAAATTTGGCAATATCGGAATGGCTCCCTCCAAAAATTGCTTTTCCTATGTCATCCAGGCTAAGATCCATTTCCCAGTTGTTACTGATGAGTGATGTTGAACTCTTCATTAGGGAGTCAACAGAATGATGAAGAGCACTGGAAAGCTGTTTGCTGCAGCGGCTGAACGGACGCCAGTCCCGCACAGCTGAGGGAAGTTTCTGCATCTGCCCTCCCTGAAAACGGTTCTTGCAAACGGTACAAGTGTCATTATCCATGTGTGACTTGACATCAATCAAAAATGCACCTTTACGGCGCATCCTGACAACATCAAAGCCTTCGCCCACCAGGTTGTAACCAGGCACAAATGGGGCTTTCTCACATTCTACCTGAGAGCCTGTGTGGCAAGCTGAACTATTGTGCCAGTGTGTCAAGATCAAAGAAATGCAGAGAAACACGTGGAAAACACAATGATTTGTCTCCATGATGATTTCTAAAGGGAAAATGCAGAGGGTTCAAATGTAATATTTCATTATTTCTCAGATGGAAAAACATTCATGAGGCAATATACATGCAAAGTAAAAAAAAAAAAAAAAAAGTAAGAATATTATTGTAAAATTACATAATGAAAGTCCAGAGTGCAGTGTATTTTTTATGGCACTGAAATCTGCTAAAATATCTAATCTGTTCAAAAAATATCAGTTTTACCCACCGAGAGTAGCTTTCATGCAACAGTCTATTCCAGCTGTTACACCACCATATTGACCTACTTCCGAAAAATCCTTTTCTCTGTTCTTCTTTCCAAATTACAGTTTCTTCAAGAAATGTTTTTGCTGTAGAGTCACTTTCTGGAATGCTAATGCTGAAAAGGAGCACTGTGTGAAAGCCTGATTCTATGGCATTGTGTCATGTGGAAGGGAGTGTCTTCCTTTCAGGCCCTTTCTTCTGTGCTGGACAGATTTCATCCGCTTGTTACACTCTTTGTCTTGTAGCTTCTACTAAGAAAAATAATACATTACAATCGCCCTATAACAACAAGTACAATTATAATGTAGCAGTAATTTAAACTCAGATTTCATGTCCTTATATTTATTCACAATCTAAGTCAGGTTCGTGATCATATTGCATGCTGAAGTTAATGACATTTGCTCAGTCTTTCTTTAAGAACTATTTATTAATCACAAAGCACAAAAAGAGAGACATATACCAGTAAAAAAATAATAAAACTGTAGAAAATCATGCCGAATCCAACCCCTTATGTATTTTTCCTCAGCTGCTCTAAAAGTGATTCATTTCAGAGTATTCTTATTTCACAACAATCTGTAAAATAGACTTCTGAAACATTTACGGTACAGTCTTTCTTAACAATTTTTTATATCTCTGCAGAGTGATGCCTGGGTAGAATAAAGCCCCTCCATGGCTCTGAATTAAGGAATATGTGATGTTACTCTGATAACCACTAGTTTCAGAGGTTCCATGGGATGTACTGGCACCAATATCAAATTTAACCTTGTCAAAAAAGTTAAATCCTGCTGATGCAGTAACAGAAGACACATCTGACTGACTGTTAGAGATATAAGACATTTTTAAATAGTCCTCTTGCACCAAAGTAGCACCAGCTTCAACACTTGTGATGACATGGGTGCCAAAATCGAGTATGAGTTTCTCTGACAGGTAATTTGCTTGACGAGTTTGATTGTTTTCAATAGCATCTGCGATTTCCTCTGCCTGTTGAGCAAAGCGGGTGTCCAGAAGGAAATCAGGATATGCCTTTACTGTGTACAGATGGTTACGGACCTGAGAACCAATTTTTTGATAATATGAGAAAATGAACCAAAGATTGACAGCAATTACAGCAACTAACACTTTTCCATCATTTGTTTTAAAAGACAATTGTTTGTTTATTATCATTATTATTATTTTAGATGCTCATAAAAAAATGTAGTTTTATTTATTTTGATATTAGAATTGATATTTCTATTTTTATGATGCCATAGTGTAGGTTATTCAAAATTATATTTTTCCTTATTTACATAGAAATACTTGAAAATTATATATTCAATCTGCTTGTCCATATAGTACATAGAACTCTCAATATGACATTTCCTATTTTTACTTTTGTACTTACTTGAACTCGTGCTGTTACAGAACTCTCCTTCACTTGGTGGGTTTTCATACGCTGGTTTTCTGTGGAGAATTTTGCATTGAGCACCGAATAAAAGGAAACATCTGCATTGATGGAACTTGAAGTTGAGCTTTTTTGTTCCAGCCATGACATGATGATCTCCGAGTTTGTTTCCACTCCGCTCACTTTCTGTGGAATGACAAAGACTTCATCTGGAATGAGATAGACTCCGTCTTCTGTGGTCTGACACTGGGAATAGCTCAGATTCATCACCCGGCCCATGTCTATGTTGCGCAGGTTATCCCAGCCTCCTCCTGGCAGAACCTCCAGCGCTGCTAAACTTGAGTTTATGCGGCACAAACGAAGTCCACTACTGGGACGAATGAGAGGATGAAGCTTGCAGACATTGATAAAACAGCAGAGCATCAGCAGACAAAATGCTCTAGACTCCATGATCAGCAGGTGCGTCTTTCACACTACCTTGCAGTAATGTGACCTTCAGTAAATTATATCTGAAACATTTTAGAATTTGGCGAGTTCCTCAATAAAGCCACTTCTGTGTTTCACATGCGTTAGAAAATAAAGTCATGAGACTATGAACTTGTAGCATTCATGAGCGGAGCTGCTGTGATTACAGCCGTTACTGGAGAAACCGTTAGTGTTATCACTCTAAAAGCGCCTCCTGCTGGCAGAGAATCAGTTTGCATTTACAATAAGCCCGTCTCCAGCAACATTTCCAATTTTTGTTGTTGTTCAATTTTTTTGTTTTCTGCAGCGACTAGGAGCACTTTTCATACCCTTTTTTTCTGGCTGAAGCACATTTGTTTCAATCTATAAGAATAATCAGCCTACACTACCAGTCAAAAGTTTTTGAACAGTAAGATTTTTAATGTTTTTTTTTTTTAAGAATTCTCTTCTGCTCACCAAGGCTGCATTTATTTGATCCAAAGTACAGCAAAAACAATAAATGTTGAAATATTTTTACTATTTAAAATTGCTTTCTATTTGAATAGATTTTAAAATGTAATTTATTCCTGTGATCATACATAGCTGAATTTTCAGCATCATTACTCCAGGCTTCAGTGCCACATGATCCTTCAGAAATCATTTTAATATGCTGATTTGCTGATTATCAATATTTAAAACAGTTGAGTTTTTTTTTTCAGGATTCTTTGGTGAATAGAAAGATCCAAAGATCAGCATTTATCTGAAATAAAAAGCTTTTGTAACATTATACACTATTCCATTCAGTATCATTTTTATTATTTTTTGGGAAAGAAATTATAGAAATTAATACTTTTATTTAGCAAGGATGCTTAAAATTGATCAGAAGTGATGATAAAGGCATTTATAATGTTACAAAAGATTTCTATTTCAGATAAATAGTGTTCATATCGATATCGGAATTATATCGTATCGACTGAAATTAAGAAATATATCATGATATCAATTTTGGCCATATCGTCCAGCCCTAGACTGAATGAAACAAATATTCTTGTTGTGCATTATGGCCTATTCTTTGGTAAATTTATCTATGTAATTCCACTTATTTTCTGGGTCTTCATAATGTCCTATACTTTTTGTTTTGATGATATAAGAGGGGTCGAGATTTTGTTTTTAAACGAGGAAATGAGATTCTATGCTGCTTCCTGATTTAGAACAGTATGGCCTTTTCAAATCTTCTTCAACATGAGAAACATTAAAAAATTGCTTTGGGTGTAGATGATAAGATGAAAACCTAACGGGTTTGTTTTTCATCATCACTTTTTATCACGTGGTGGCAAAGTTTTATGCCTAAGTAAGTAGACACAGGAATGCATATACAGTGAGCTGGATTTTGTTTTTTTAACAAATAATACATCTTAACAAATATTAAATTCACAACATTACAATATACAATAATTTTCCACAGCATTGCAAACCATTTAGCTATGAGGTTTGTATTCTATGTACTTAGCCAAGAGATCAATATGTGATGTCTCCTTTTCATTATAAACACCGTTCCTGCAACCACAAGAGCAACCAGAACCATTACACCAATGGCTACACCAGCCTTTTCTCCTCCAGACATCTGAGAAGATGATGTGTTAAACATTGATGCCATTTGATTAATTTCACCAGGCTATGCCAGTCTCCACATCTTAGTTTCTCCAACTCTCACCCAAGAACGATCACCTTCTGTCATTACAGCTACTGTGTTTGTTGCAATCATGCTGACCATTGGTGGTTTTGTGAATGGTGGGAGGCGGATAGGCTTTAACTGACCACCAGTGAAGACACCAGACTGGACACAGTACAATATCTGACAACCATCACTAATGGAAGCAAGATGTTGGCTGAACTGAGGTGGACAGCGAGATTCACCATTTGACAGAGGGTTGCCAGATTGACAGCTGAAGAAACCAGCAAAAGGCACAGAGAATCTTGTTCCGGCCTCATAATCATTGCTCAGACAAACCATCATGCCATTAGACAAAAAGTGTTGGGTAAAGTAGTTTGGAGGACAGCTATTAGATTTGGTCAGTGGGTTTTGCATGCCTGGTCCAAACAGACCTCCAAAAAGGTATCCAGAGTACTCGGGGGTCTTCTGAGTTGTGGAACACCAGTAAGTTTCAACTTTTGCACGACGGACACGGTAAGCATCACCACATGTTTGGTCACAACAAGTACTCAACCATAAGAAACCACATTTGTGGCAGTGGCTGTGGCATTCATAGTGATTATAGCCTCGTTCTACTGTCTCAGAGCGTAATAGGGTGGTGTTGTACTGCTGAGGGCAAGAATAATCACCAGTAGCTGGGTTTTTCTGTGCGGTTTCATCACAGATAGCATTTCCATCTGATGTCAGTGCAGTGCATCGTTGGAAAATGCCACCAAAGCTAAGATTGGTGACTGGACCCTCACAAGATGCATCATCTACATTTGCCTGAAAGTTGAAGTTTTTGGAATCTGGATTTACACAACCTGGAATGGTGTTTACTTTATAGTATTGCTCTGCAGCTTGACGAACTGATGAAGCCATTTTATTTACTGTTGGTTGTGGGAGGTCTGGGAATGTTGATGGATTCAGAAAATAGCGAATCGGCAGGCCGGAGCGGTCAATAGCCACCAGATTATTGAGCGTACTCTCTTGCCACTTCTGCAGAGCAGTGGTGGCGAAGTACACAAATCAAGTACTTGAGTAAAAGTACAGATACGTATAATAAAATATTAATAGTACTCCTTTTTCAATTTTACTCGAGTGAAAGTACAAAAGTACTCAATTTTTATGTACTTAAGTAAAAAAGTACTGATAGATTTATTTTGCCATTTTATATAGGCTACTTAATTTAAATTTATATTAGCAAATATTTTTTATAATCCTACTGCTCAAAATACCTGGGATTTTCCCAAAATAACCACTATATGGAGACAAGATATATTTTTGTTGTTGATATGGACTACTTTGACGAGAGTGATATAGTAATATTCACTATGAAGCTTACACTGCGATGTACCTGAGAGAAAACTGATTTGACCATCTGATTTTCACCAGTAAGAAAAAAGTGTTTTAAAGCTTGTTGTTTTGCAGAACATCACAGTTATATATGACATGAGAATAAGGACTGAAGTTAGGAAGAACATTTTATGGAAAATATAATTATATTTTTATAATGATTTTTTTCTTCTCAAACCTTGTCTGTGGTCCCTGGCCAAATGCCCCCAGAGGGCATCACTTCCCACTTTGATAATTACTGTAGTTACTATGTTCTGGTCATCACATCCTTTATTTTCCCCCAGATGTAATCTATCTAGGTCGTTGAATAAAAATATTTGGACTTTATATCTAAAAATTACCTCAACTTAGCACCAGCAAGCTTGTTAGCTAGACAGTTAGCATCAGCTAACATTATTTACTTATTTTCAGTATGGTTATGAATAAACATTCATATCTGTCTACTCGGCTAGTTAATCCAAACAATATAAAAATGTATATTGTTGATAAACAATATAAAAACAGACGTCACATAGGGCTAAATGCGTAGTATTTTAATAAAACTGTTAACGTACCGGCAGCGGGGAATATGAACGCGCATGAATTATTTTATTTAGTCTGTGTTATTTTAATGTTTCGGGGGTTTTACATTTTTTTTTATCTAAAATAGAGACACAGATGTTTATGTGTCTGCATTCAATCATTTCAGTGGACTTAAATAGATCACCCTTTACATCAGATTTAGTTCACAAACAACTGACAGTTTTGACCTAAATATGATTTTCAGTTACAATAATTTATCCTAAAATTCGATATTAGTAACTTTTAGCAGCATGAGACGCGCGCGCGCTCACAAGATCTCCCGGTTGTTACTTGTGAATTGAGTTCACTGGAGACTCGCACTAAACGGTTCATTTGAATCAGTGAGTTGTCGACAACTGCACTCGGTTCATTCTAATTCATCAATGAATCGTTTGGTGCGATTTGCGAACCGATTTAAAAGGTTCATTGAAAAGAATCAGTTCGCTTCTTTATTTGTTACTCCAAATAAAACGACTCCAGTAGACCTAAATATGATTTTCAGTTACAATAATTTATCCTAAAATTCGATATTAGTAACTTTTAGCAGCATGAGACGCGCGCGCGCTCACAAGATCTCCCGGTTGTTACTTGTGAATTGAGTTCACTGCACTAAACGGTTCATTTGAATCATTGAATCAGTGAGTTGTCGACAACTGCACTCGGTTCATTCTAATTCATCAATGAATCGTTTGGTGCGATTTGCGAACCGATTTAAAAGGTTCATTGAAAAGAATCAGTTCGCTTCTGCGTCTCGGAGCACGTGATATATTATAAGGCGTAACTATATGTTTAATGAAATGTAGTGAAGTAAAAAGTACGAGCTTATGCTTTGGAATGTAGTGAAGTAAAAGTAAAAGTTACTCCAAATAAAACGACTCCAGTAAAGTACAGATACTTGAAAAATATACTTAAGTACAGTAACGAAGTAAAGCTACTCCACTGCTTGTACGTAGCATTGTATCAATACAGTTCAAATGTCTTTCTATTTGCAAATGTGAAGAATCAGTGTGCCATGCTGTTTTAAGACTGAACAATTTCTAGACTTTGTATAATTGCATGCTTTTAAACCCATTATTTATAATTGTGTGCAATTGTTCCGTGAAACTAGACCATATTTAATATTATCATCTATTTATAAATAGAATATTTTGCTGAGTTTTTCAACAAATAATGCATTTTCAGCCAACTAAAACATATTCTTTTTTCTCACTTTTAGCAAATTATGGCCCTACAAAAATAATAATAAATGTAATTAGAACTGCAATAACACTGATAAATTATTTTTAATATATTCTCTTTTTTTATTTTTACTTTGATGCTAACAGAGCTGTCAGGTGGGATTGTCTGAGATCTGAGGCTATTAGCCTCATTACATCCATATTTATGTGGCTGACATAAAACTTCAAATAATGCTAAAATCATCTTAGTATAATTCATAAAAGCATTTTACTTCTTACAGTTTGTTCTTCTGGAGTTATTACACCAGAAGGGTGTCTCCTAGACAGCTGAAACCTTATCTTTGATGCCACGTCAGTTGGATGATAAATGACCTAAAAGGACCCTTTTGGTTGTTTTGCTTGTTCAGAGGTGTCTGAGGGTTACATAAGTGTAAATGATTTTACTACTTTTTAATCAAACATGCTCGACTTGCTCAAATACACAACACTTTGTGTTTAGCAATATTCAATAATCTTTATAGTTTCAAATACCTTAGGAATTCTGTCCTCAAAGCTGTTGTGTAAAAAAATGAATACTAGGCCACCTTATACCATAAACAACCCAGTTACCATGCTACAAAAACCACCTTGACCACCTCAAGTCGACCTGTCCCACTTTTGCTGATGATCCGTTGCAGTTCAACTAAAAAAAAAAAAAAAATCAAGTGAAATGCAGTCAAAAGTTGTACTACTTTAAATATTAGCATAATAAAAAGGACTCAAAGCTGAAAGTAAACAGCTGTGATCAGTGCTCTCTGCTCCAGTCTGTCACGTTCCCTAGGCAACGCGTCACTCATTTCTGCCGTGAACCGCTTGCGTATAAACCCCAGAACTCTACGGTGTTTAGGACCCGTGAGTCGAGAGGGCATGTGATTGTCTGACTGAACTAAAAACAACACGAGGAAACAAAGCGTCTCAAACTGTCCGAAACATTCGCAGCTTGGGCTCCCATCACTCAGCAGCAGACATGGATTGCGGAATTCTAACATCTAAAACCGTTCTTTTATTTCTCAGTGTAATATTTTGGGTAAGTTTGTGTTGTTCTTTTTAACATAATTTCTTTTGTTTCATAAATATAGACAGGTCTAAAGAGATATACATTTACCCTAAGAGGTTTACAAACCCATGCTGTCCTTAAATGTTGGTTTTGCTGTTGTTTGATGACTGTATTTGTAGGAAGAAGGGTCCTAGGCATCATAATAGTTTGTATTCATCCAGTTGTTTCTCCTCCTCCAGACACTAAATGATTGTTTAGCCAGAGTAACACGCTTCTGACAACGAGCTCTTCTCTAGAATGTAATTTAATTTAGTCATTTGTTTGCTCTTTGTTTATAACGTTACACTTAAGAAAACCAAGTGAAAGAGCTTCATTGTCATTTTCAATGCAGCCTTTAAAGCTATTCACATTTGTTTACATCAGAGTTGATGTAACTGTCAGAGCTTCTAACTTGATTTCAGTGGAAAAACTGAAGATTGTTGATGGCCATATTGTCAGTGCCATTATGTAGGTCTAGTCATCTGACTTGGCTTAGTGCCTCGCACTCATTTTTGGCTTCATTGGGCACGAAAGGGAGTTCTGTAGAAAACCAAGACGTCTTCTGCACAGCCAATTGAATATTTTCCTGTGCACATAGCCGTTGCTAAAATAAAGATTCAAGTTTAAGGCCCTTGGGGACCCCGCTGTTCTGGCCCTTTCTGCACATGGTGCACTTGTGGTTTTGTGAGACTTTTTATTTCTTCCTGTAACAGCAGTGCAGTGAGTAACAAAACCTGGAACTGAAAGTTCTTATTGTAGCATCTTTGTCTTGTGTAAAGCTGATATATTGCCATTGTGATGTGTAACTTCATGCCTCAAGGGTTTTTGTTTTACTGTGCTGCTTCTGCTCAAGCCCAGGCACAAGACTAGCATTCCAGGAAAGATTAGAGGGCAGGAGAAGGTTACTCGTGGTCTCGTGACTGATTACTGAAGAACAGATCATGCGCTAGCGAGTCATACATAACCCAGAATTCTAAAGTGTACTTGTTATGAAATGACCAGTGTTGGGTTACCATGCTACAAAAACCCCCTTGTGACCCCCTCAAGTCGACCTGTCCCCCTTTTGCTGATGATCCGTTGCAGTTCAACTAAAAAAAAAAAAAAAATCAAGTGAAATGCAGTCAAAAGTTGTACTACTTTAAATATTAGCATAATAAAAAGGACTCAAAGCTGAAAGTAAACAGCTGTGATCAGTGCTCTCTGCTCCAGTCTGTCACGTTCCCTAGGCAACGCGTCACTCATTTCTGCCGTGAACCGCGTGCGTAAAAAAAAAAAAAAAATCAAGTGAAATGCAGTCAAAAGTTGTACTACTTTAAATATTAGCATAATAAAAAGGACTCAAAGCTGAAAGTAAACAGCTGTGATCAGTGCTCTCTGCTCCAGTCTGTCACGTTCCCTAGGCAACGCGTCACTCATTTCTGCCGTGAACCGCTTGCGTATAAACCCCAGAACTCTACGGTGTTTAGGACCCGTGAGTCGAGAGGGCATGTGATTGTCTGACTGAACTAAAAACAACACGAGGAAACAAAGCGTCTCAAACTGTCCGAAACATTCGCAGCTTGGGCTCCCATCACTCAGCAGCAGACATGGATTGCGGAATTCTAACATCTAAAACCGTTCTTTTATTTCTCAGTGTAATATTTTGGGTAAGTTTGTGTTGTTCTTTTTAACATAATTTCTTTTGTTTCATAAATATAGACAGGTCTAAAGAGATATACATTTACCCTAAGAGGTTTACAAACCCATGCTGTCCTTAAATGTTGGTTTTGCTGTTGTTTGATGACTGTATTTGTAGGAAGAAGGGTCCTAGGCATCATAATAGTTTGTATTCATCCAGTTGTTTCTCCTCCTCCAGACACTAAATGATTGTTTAGCCAGAGTAACACGCTTCTGACAACGAGCTCTTCTCTAGAATGTAATTTAATTTAGTCATTTGTTTGCTCTTTGTTTATAACGTTACACTTAAGAAAACCAAGTGAAAGAGCTTCATTGTCATTTTCAATGCAGCCTTTAAAGCTATTCACATTTGTTTACATCAGAGTTGATGTAACTGTCAGAGCTTCTAACTTGATTTCAGTGGAAAAACTGAAGATTGTTGATGGCCATATTGTCAGTGCCATTATGTAGGTCTAGTCATCTGACTTGGCTTAGTGCCTCGCACTCATTTTTGGCTTCATTGGGCACGAAAGGGAGTTCTGTAGAAAACCAAGACGTCTTCTGCACAGCCAATTGAATATTTTCCTGTGCACATAGCCGTTGCTAAAATAAAGATTCAAGTTTAAGGCCCTTGGGGACCCCGCTGTTCTGGCCCTTTCTGCACATGGTGCACTTGTGGTTTTGTGAGACTTTTTATTTCTTCCTGTAACAGCAGTGCAGTGAGTAACAAAACCTGGAACTGAAAGTTCTTATTGTAGCATCTTTGTCTTGTGTAAAGCTGATATATTGCCATTGTGATGTGTAACTTCATGCCTCAAGGGTTTTTGTTTTACTGTGCTGCTTCTGCTCAAGCCCAGGCACAAGACTAGCATTCCAGGAAAGATTAGAGGGCAGGAGAAGGTTACTCGTGGTCTCGTGACTGATTACTGAAGAACAGATCATGCGCTAGCGAGTCATACATAACCCAGAATTCTAAAGTGTACTTGTTATGAAATGACCAGTGTTGGGCAGTAACTAGTTACTAGTAACTTAGTTATACTTAGTTATATTGATTTTGTCAGGAAAAAAGATGATCTGGACACTGTTGTGTATATAGTGGCTTTACTTTACTCTGGCATTACATCCCACCCATGCCCCTCTGATCAACATGTGGTACATTATATAATTAAAAATCTTTTAATTATAACCTAACTACCTAACCAAACTTGTGTGTTTTGATAAAATACATAATGAAAGCTTCAAGCTACACATGACAATTAATGAGATTAATACAACACTTCTGCTTGAATGTCACTATCAGTCACTATTGAGTGTTTATGTGGAGTTTGGTCAAATGATGAGGCAGAAATATGTTGTTCGTAACATTCTAGAAGAATTTTATGGGGAAGATACACAGTTACAACTTCTGTGGGGCGTGAAGGAAAAATAATGTAACTAGTAGTGTAATTGATTACTGTTGCCAGAAAGTAATAAGTAAAGTAACAATATTACTTTTGAAAGGAGTAACTAGTAAGGAGTAATATATTACATTCTTTGAGTAACTAGCCCAACAGTGGAAATGACACCTTGTGACATCATGTGAGAGATGATGAATGTTACAGCATGTTACTTTGTGATGTTTTCTCTCAAGTCATTGCCCCACATGACTTTTTACATCTTGAATTAAACTTACCTTTTAATAAAGTTTTTCAAAGTTATTTTTAATATATTTTGGAACAAATAAATAGACCCGAGGATCATGTCTTTGACCCACCTGTTGTTGTTGTTTTTTCTTCAGGCTGCTGGAGCGGCCCTCGCGTATGTTGGCTCTTATGTGATAAAGAGCTACAACAGCTTTGAAGACTTTGTATCTAATAAGTACTCCGTCATCCCAGCAGCCATTATAATCGGTGTGGCTGTGGTCATGTTTGTCATCGGGATCGTTGGCTGCTGTGCAACTCTGAGGGAGTCCAAAGTCGGTTTAGGCTTTGTAAGTATGGGCCATCTGTCTGTGTACCTTTTGTGCCCAAAGCCTTTGTTTCAGTTTATTTGATCGAAAATAGAATGTAGGGTCCATGTTGGTAGTATCTATTCCTACTTTAAAGCCTCTGGGGTAGTACTGGTTTCATCATTGTGTAGATGAGGGTTTTAATATTTGATACTTTTATCTGAATTTGCATTTAGTTTCTTCTCATCATCATGATAATCTTCGCAGCCGAGGTTACTGCTTTTGTGTTTGGCTTCATCTACAGGGGAAGAGTAAGTAATTCTCATATAACTTATGGATATGTATGATATGTAGAAATATGAACATTGGCATTTTTTTCTTATGATGTATACAGATTAAGGGTGACCTAGAAAAGTCAATGAACAGTGTCTTTCAAAAGTATGATGGTGTGGACAGTGAAACCCATGCAGTGGATTACTTGCAATTCCAAGTAAGGCTGAAAGATTCATTCATATCATTGCAATCATTTTTGGTTGCACAGGCATAATAGATGCATGAGGGATTCTCATTCTCTTTATTGTCCCCTTCATCTTTTTACATTAATCTTCACTTTTACATTTCCAGTTGGAGTGCTGTGGGGTGAATAACATCACAGACTGGACTGCAATGCCATGGTTTGGCCAACATAACAACTCTGTGCCACATTCCTGCTGCAAAGCAAATGCTACACAATGCACTGGCCAACTCACCCAACTAGATCTTCTGAACACACAGGTTTGAGTGCAAAACTGCTTGACATCTGATATTGTGCATTATTTTATTCAGTGAACAGTTTTATTTTAGGATTATTTAAATGCTTTATTAATATTTTGAATGATCTTTTATTTTTTTATTTCCAGTTAATTTTATTTGAAACTATTTTTTATTGCTAGTTCTTTCACGTTTCGGACTTTTAGTACTTTCATTTGTTTTTCGTCTAATATGTATATTTTGTTTTATTTCAGCTCTATCTAAAATAAATAACAAAATAAATTAATAGGTTCAGTTTTTTAGTTACAACACTTATATTCAGATCAACGTAATCCCAAGCATATTAAAATTATGTAATTAGTTTTTTGTGTTTTTGTGAGGGGGGAAAAACTGTTCTGTTGTTCCTACAGGGATGTGAAGCTAAACTGGAGCAGATGCTTCAGGATGTGCTTAGTTATGCAATGTTGGTCATCCTGGGATTTGCCATCATTAAGGTACATCAGCTCCTTTTAGCTTCATCTTTATCCTTGTTTATCAGACAGTGACTTTTCAGCAACTCTCTCTCTCTTTTTCAGTTGTTTGGGATGCTCAGCATCTGTGTCATTGCCTGCAGAAGCAAGAAGAATGACTATCAGCCTCTGTATGCGTGATGGTAACATCTCCTGAATCACTCTCTTGGGACAGTCGCTACATTCTCGCTACTGTGCAGCTAAACACAGCCTCACTGGCACCATAAACATCAGTGGTTTGAAGGTGTGACTATTCCAAACATTTAGTTAAAAAAATTAATTGTAATGCCTTTTGGTTTGAGTGCAAAAGTCCAACTTGAATGAGAAATGCTGACGGGAACCACACAAGTGTGTGGTCAGAAAAACACAGAACATTATCAAATGATCAAAGAGGTGTCTGAAAACCATGTGACATTCTTAAGTAGCTTTGACAATTAATGTTTATGCTAGCCCTTGACAAATATTGTACGTCTATGTCTCCAACTCCACACAAGTTTTAGGAAATGTTATATAGCAGCACTTCACCAAATGTATTTAAAATGTAGACTTTGTATGTAAACTTTAGAGTTGATAGATGCACTTCATTTTTAAGGATTTTATGTCAAATGATGTCTTATAGTTGTCTGTGTACGTGCAGGGTTTTTTTTTTTGGCTGCTGTCCAAATTATACCTGTCTTATACTCGTCTGTGTTTATTATGTTCATTAAAAGAATTTAGCTCAACAGAAGGATATTAAATTATGGAAATAAACTGGTCTGAGTATATTTCTAAATTTTTCTAGATTACAAAAATGCATGTTAATAATTATCCTCAAATGACTGTTGTTTATCAACTCCATTTCGGAGGAAATACACACGTGAATTTAGACACATTTTGGGTGTAGACTCCAGTTGTTATCTGTCTCATGCTGACACATTTATGACGATATAAAAGTAAGCCCTGAACTCTAATGATCAGAAATGCTCTGTTGGCCCACATTTTTAATGTAAACACAAAATGTACTGAATCCCGGAATTGTAGAAACCATCTCGACACCCTTAAAAATGAACAAACTGCCCCTTACTTTTTAGCTTGACCTTAAATTGAATGTAATCCATAAACAATTCAGTGTTTACAATACTATAAAATGTTCTTGGTGAATATGCGGAGAGAGAAAAATCTGTTAACACCATATTATTACAGCACTAATTTTAATGTAGTCAGATTCTGCTTTGTTAGTTTTTAACTAGAGACAACAGTAAAAGCTTGAGACCTACCGAGTTTAGTTGTTTATAAATATAATATAAGATACGATACAAATTAATAAAACTATTTTGTGAAACAAATCAAAGTAAAACGATCTACTCTAAGTGACATTTGCAATTGTAACCGTTAGAGGTCGCTGCAAGCTAAAGAAAAAACGACACAAACGGATACAGCATGGCGGTTGAATATATTTTACTTTGCATAAAAGCATCATTATAATTTAACAATATAGATGATCAATGATACGCATATGCAAAATTTAAGTTGACTGTGAAAGTAACTAAACAGAACACACTGATTTGGTTGTTTTATTTATTTAGAAATGTACACTGCTACATGTGTATCTGTATACTTTTTTTTTTTGCCCTCACACTCTCACAGAGCTGACTCAGGTGTTTGGACAGAGGAAATGTATACATTTCCATCTCACTTATCTAATTTCCTCCTCTCACCACTGACTCCTCAGTGCAGTAACCTGACCTCAGTCAGGATGAAGCATTTGGAGGGCAGCCAAACACACTGTTTCTCCTGCTGAGCAATCCAAAGATACTGCATCTCTGCATCTCAGCACTGCCGGAACCGAGGTGCTCATTTTATTTCCAGGAACTGCTGTAGTTTTTGTTAGTAGTGGAAGGTCTTTAGGCATTTATCAAGGAGTTGAAGGCACATAAACAGAATGAGGACGAGAAGAGTGACAGTGTGCAAGTACAAAACAAAGCAGCAGAGCTCTAGGAGACCTAACCACAGACACTGACACCTTGGTTAATTTTATCTTGGAAAAAAGATGAAAGGTGATCAGACTGAATGAAAAGCTATATTCTGATTCACACATTTCATCAATGGAAGCAGCACATGCTACTTTAGCTGAGAGTTAGAAAATAAAAAGATGGATTGTTCTCAGGTAATGGTGGCATGAATTATTACCATATTTGTTGATAGTTATTAACTGGTAAGGAAATAAATAAACAGTTGAATGTTTAAAATTATTTGAGGAAATTACATCAGTCTTTTTGATCACAGTATTTCAGTAAGCTATATACACACACACACACACACACACACATAGAAATTACGGTAACACTTTAGAATAAGGTTCATTAGTTAACATGAACTAATAATGAACTGCACTTATACAGCGTTTATTAATCTTTGTTAATGTTAATTTCAACATTTACTAATACATTATTAAAATCTTGTTAACATTAGTTAATGCACTGTGAACTAACATGAACATCTGTATTTTTATTAACTAACATTAGCGTAGATTAGTAAATACAGTAACAAATGTATTGCTCATGGTTAGTTCATGTTAGTTAATATATTAACTAATGAACCTTATTGTAAAGTGTTACCGAAATTACATGTACTTTTATTTATCATATAAAGTAACAAAGTTAACTGTATAACAAATATTTTTCTCAATAAATTACAATTCTATTGATTATAAAATAATATTTTTTAATCATTTTTATTTTGTATATAATAATGTAATTGTGTATCAAATTATTGTGTTGATTATTCAAATATAAATATTTTTGTTTTACAGTGAAATCGCATGTACTGTCTTGTCACCATAGCACTGTAAAGTGTTTTACTCAATTTTTTTGTGTTTTACAGTGTGCAAACGTTCATATGAAATAGCCTTCAAATATATATATATAAAAATGTTTTACAGTATATACATCGGCATAGCCTACTACAAAAAGGACTTGTCTGCATTTAGTGTCCGCACCTAGTAGTACCTATTTTTGTCATTAAAAATTCACTTTGAAAGACAGAGTCTTGGAATGCAGCACTTTACATGTCAAAAGCAGATGTCCTCCTGACCAGTCGAGACCAGAAGCCACGGCTCATCATCTGAGCGCTGGACGTGTGTGCGTCCTGCACGAGCGCGCAGGTGTCAGGATCACCGTCTGGTGGACGGGGAGGCCGTGACGTCATCAACGAGTTTTGCCAAAGAAAAGCTTGTAGGTCCACACGGTGGAGGAGGGACACTGGGAGGCGAACAGATGCCGTGTGTCTCAAATGAACGCTCTCTCGGCGGTCTCTCGCGGTGACGCTATCGCGGGTAAGCTCTAATATCATTCTCTGATAACACACACGGAAAATGCTCACGGCAGCAGCAAACTGACTGACTAAAACCTCCAACAACCGGACTGCACCAGTGCCAAGATTCAATAACAAACTCTGAACTACGAAAACATCACTTTCCCCATGGAAAACTCTTTTCCAACACAAATAGAGCAAATCCGTGGAGCAGCTGACAAAAGCAGGCGACGGTAAGAGATCCTGGAGCATCGCTGCCTTTGTAGTTTTCTCCGCGGATGGGCCGGAAGATAAGAAGATAGTGTTGATTTTATACTATGTTTCATACGGCGTGTATAGGCTCTTTTGTCACTTCTGTACTTGCGAGTGAAACTGCTGTTATTCTGTAGAATGCGCACGGGTTTCTGGAAGGAGTTGGTTTGGTTCATGGATTATAATGCCTTAAAAAAGACATTATATTTAAATCCCTATGTGAAAAATTAATGGGAGAAAACTTCCAGATCAAGGGCTGCTGAAAAAGTGTGTGGGCACTGTTGCGCTCTAAGAGCCAGCTAAAGGCGAAGGAGTTCATCTTAAAGAACTGAGTTGGAAAATAAGAAATACTTGTGATATGTGATATATATATATATATATATATATATATAAGTGATATGAGACTATTAAGTCTAGTGGAATAACACTAGATGCATATTTATTTAATAATGTAGAAAATCACCAAGCTGAAACATTTGAAAAACTATGAACTGTAAAAATGTGCATTTGGTGGTATTTCTAAACTATTCATGCTTTTATTGTAATCAGTAACTAACTGCATATCTGATTTCTGTCTCTCTCTTTCTTTTTCTCCACTGAAGGGAATGCATGAGAAGCATGACACATAGCTGCGTGAGGAGCATGGAGGGTACAGGACAGCCTGGAGCCGGAGACGGCAAGTGAAAGCTCTTAGATTATAAATGAAACTCACCTGCTGCTAACGTTAAAGTCAGACATCAGAGAACCTACAACTCCAGTGCAGCAGTGTAATTGAGTTTGAATATATCATGGAGTGCTTTTGGGGTAGAGAATCCTGGGAGACTGCGTTTCAGAGTGTTTGCTGTGTGCAGCAGGCACTGGCTGACTGTGGGATGTTGCTATGGAAACACTTGCCCTGTACTAGGGTGTTGAGCTGTATTCCACCCAGTACCGTGCACCCATTGCTTTGATAGTGCGCAAATGTGATTTAAGATCGCTCTTTACAAGAAGAAGGGTTAATTTTTGCTTCATGCAGCTGTAGTTTGAATTTTGTAATAAAACATTATCTGGTGTTTTTTATAATAATTAAGCTTTAAGCTTTGTAATAGAATATTGCATTATTTGGTCATTTATCATTCTCCTCACTCTCTGCAGCCTCTCACAGGCAGTGCCCAATTGCTCCTCTCTAAGCCATGGCCTGGCAGAATACATCCCCATTCCAATATGGCTTTGACCTGGGGGGACATTACCAGGATCTGCGTCCTCTTGGCACGGGAGCATCCGGCCTCGTCCTCTCTGCGGTGGACAGGCGCAGCGGCCTGTGTGTGGCGGTTAAGAAGCTGGTCATGCAAGATGCCGTCAGCATAAAACACGCTCTGAGAGAGGTGAAGATCACCCGCCACCTGCAGCATGAGAACATTGTCAGGGTGTATGACGTGTTGGGGCCATCCGGTCACCCTTTACCGCGTGACCTGACCCATGTGTCAGCAATATACATTGTGCAAGAGTGTATGGAAACTGACCTGGCACGGTTACTGGAGCAAGGGCCGTTGCCAGCAGAACACGCCACCCTGCTCTTTTATCAGCTGCTTCGTGGGCTCAAGTTCATCCACTCGGCCAACATACTGCACCGTGACCTCAAGCCAGCGAACATCTTTATCAACACAGAGCAAATGCTGCTGAAGATCGGAGACTTCGGCCTGGCTCGTATTGTGGACCCACATTACTCTCACAAGGTAAGAGTCACAGCAGCAGGGCAGGTGTCACTGCAGCACGTACTGCTTCACTCACTAAAAAGAATAACGGACATCTACATAGGTACAGAAATGGTACAGTGGTTCCTAATGGAGGTATATGACTGAGATCTGTTATCAATATTCCAAATTTATTGGTTATTAGTGCTGTAGTAACAGGTCTATTGATAAATGGTCACCTGTATTCATTCTGACGTTTCCAAAAAAAACAAAAAACATATACACACACACACACATATATATATATGAGTGTGTGTGTGTGTGTGTGTGTGTGTTTTATTTATTTTAAAACCAAAAAATAATACTAATCAATTCATATTATGTTTTTATTGTTGTGGTTTGAAGATAATTGAGTTATACATTGTTTTTTTTATCAAAAATTACCCACATTACTCTCACAAGGTAAGAGTCACAGCAGCAGGGCAGGTGTCACTGCAGCACGTACT